CTGAAAGAATACTTTTAATGCAGAATATTTTTATTTAGCATAGATGAATACTGTACACATCTCAATAGTATTGCTTACTGTACCATCTTCTTCAGCTTTTTTCTGTTTTCTTTGCATAGATGGCATAGAATGTGCTACTGTAAGAAGTCGATCTTTTATATTTTAGTTGAAAAATAAGAACTAGATTGTGATACTTTTTTACCACAAGTAGATCCATTGACTTTACTTACCATGAGCAAAGATATCACAATCTGCCCATAAAGTTGGATTATTTAATTAAAAAGACATTGCCCCAATTTGGTAGGGGAAAGAGGAGCTGCTCCTGCAGATGTGGTGATCAGGAAGCTAACATTTTCTTTTGAAACATGCTAGAAGTCATTATTTGGTACTTTGCTCTTGTAGTAAGTTATCTTTAAAACTCTATTCCCTTAATTCTGAGCAGAAGCTTATTTTTTGTAAACTAGACAAGCAAGGAATATTGCAGAAAAATAAAGAGAGAGATCTGTTCAGTGGTTCAAGTCCAAACAAAGCCTGCTGTTCGTAAGCAATATCTAGCACACACAACCATAACACAAAGCTCAAAGAAGGCCCTGTATTTATATATCTGAGAATGTGGAACAAAGTAATCACACGTGATGTGCATGAAAATTTAATGAGAAGAAAAAAGAAGGAAAAGTTGTCTAGGTACATTTTCTTCTTACCTCAAAGATTAGCTTATGAATGGCATTTTGTAGAAATGTCTACAGCTCTGAATATTTTCTGAGCAAAGAAAAGGGATGTTATGGACTTTTTCTTCATCTGAACAAATAACAAGGTCCCTCAACAGTTCATTAGTTTCACTGATACAAAGAGCATGTTTGGAATATATAAATGTTAGCCAAACAAATTAATTCCATCTCAAGAAGCTATTTCATGGCCTTTATCAAGTACTGTTGAAAGCAGCGAGGTTTTAGTTTTCTTTTGTGTGGAGTTAGGACATTCCAGTTGTTCTACAGACAGGTACAAGTAACATCTTATTCTACAAATAGAGTCATTTAAATACATGGGGACTACTTGTAGTGTAAGGTGGTACTCAACATGATTGAGAGTATCACAATCTAAGACAAGATGCTTAAAGACCACACGTGATTTTATCCTGTAAAATCTCTGATCTGAGTCAAAGCTCAGTTTCTGAGCCTGAGTCACTGGGTGAAAATACACTTTAAGGTAGAGTTGGAGGGTTTGATTACTATATAACAACAATTCGCTTCAGTTTTTAATTGTTGGTGTGCAAAGCCATCTGGGTGCCTTAACAGGAACAACATGAATACATAGTTCCATAATGTGCTAAAGAAATACGTTGAACAATTTAAAAATCTTTAGGCTGAGATTTTCAAATCTGCCAAATGTGATTTGTTGTCTAAATTGTCTAGACAGCTTGAAAATCTCATCATTAATTGTTAGGATTTCCAGTACGGTTTTCTTATAACTATTTAGAAAGTTAGAAATATTGTGGAATAGTTATTAAAAATTAGTCAACATCAATTTATTTCCTTTGTTGTCATCCTCAGGAAAGATGTCCAGTGATCGTGCTCTGAGGAAACAGCAGCAATTGAATAATCTGGTGTCCATGGTGACAAAATTATCTAAACCCGGAGATGTGATTGTGGATTTTTGCAGTGGAGGGGTAATGTATGTTCTCTGTATAAAATGCAACTTTATTGGGTTTTTTTTTATCTTTTACAATTCCAGTAGGACATGACTACAAATCAGAGTCTCGTGGCGGATGGTCCTTTCAGGGGAGTCACATACCAGCCTACCTGTGACAGGCTCCTGTAAGGGAGAACAAGCCAGTTCAGACTCACCTGCAAATAATTAAATCGCTAGACAGCTGTCTGGCAGCTAATTAGTTAATGAGCCCGATAAAAAGTTACCGGGGCCCTGTTAAGGTGGATGCTAGAGGCTGGAAGCTCCTGAGGACAGGAGCTCCCATGAGAGCTCAGTAGGCAAGTTCACCAGAGTAAGGAGCCTGGAAAGTGTGTTCCTAGAGAGAGGAGCCTGGCTGCTCAAATACCTGTAGAAAGCAGCTTCAGGTGAATGCTGCAAGGAATAAAGGTAGAGACTGAACTGAACCCAGCCCCAGGAAGAGGAAGGCTGAGGTCTCTGACTTCAGGATTGTGAAGAGCTTTGAGTGACAGCCTGAGGCTGGAGCGGAGAGAAGGAAGAGACTTTATTTTGGGGGTATATTTAGACTCAGTGTAGACCCCAGTGGGGACTTTGAACTGAGTTGAGTTATTTAAAGAGTACAGAAGAAGGTTAACTGTTAACTGAGGAAGGGTGCCTGCATAGCCACCCTGAGAGCTTGAGGTGGTGGCTCTTGAGGCTGCCACATGACACAGGGCAAAGGTACAGACTTTGGCATCTGAACTGCTTTTACAAAGACACTGTCACGCTTGAAGGGGGTCATTGTGAAGGGGGTCAGCTGCATGGGGTTTGAAAAGTGACTCATGTTTTTTTGGTTTTCACAGGGCCATGTAGGAATTGTTCTTGCTCACATGTTGCCATCATGCCAGGTAAAGTCTCAATAAAAATATATGGACAATGCAATTTTCCAGACTTCAATAATTCACAACTTAAAAAAAAAAAGCCACTAGATGGAAACCACAAAGACTGCTTTAACAGTGATGATTTAGAGACTTTATTTAGGTTTCAGAGTAGCAGCCGTGTTAGTCTGTATCAGCAAAAAGAACAGGAGTACTTTTGGCACCTTAGAGACTAACAAATTTATTTGAGCATAAGCTTTCGTGGGCTACAGCCCATGTCATCGGATGCATAGAATGGACTTTATTTATATAATAATGTGAGGCTCTGAATTTGTGCATATATCAATATTTGTTGTACTACAGAATTGTGCGGTGTGTGTCACCCATGAAAAAGATAGTTTAGAAGAAGCAGCTTTCAAAAGATGCTAGTAACAGTGCCAAGTCCTCAGGGCCTGATCATCTCATTGGTGATTTAAGTACAAGCTTAACTTGTAGCAGCACATGGATAATTGTATCCCTGTACAGCAAAGTACTTACGTACATGTTTAAGTTCTCTGCTGAATTGAAGTGTTGAATTGAAGGCTCCCTGGAAGAGCCACTGCCCCACTTTTCTGACCAATCCTAGTCTGACTCCCCAACTTTCAGACACTCATGACAGCAAAAAAAGGTAAGCACTGCCTTCCCCTTTGAAGGCAGCTCTGTCCTAAGTCTTGAGAGGATGTTTCCTTCATTGTGCAGGAAGTGAACCTGAAAGGGTTGGTTCACTTCCAGCCACTTGAAGCGTGAATAGCAGGGTTCTGATAACAAATAACATTGGGAACTAAAACCTGTAACTGCTCACCAGCCCCATTTCCTCAAACTTGTGTGGAGATTAGATGCAGCCTATACTTAGGGCCCTTTGTTTTTGGTTTTTATTTTATTTAATTTTTCCCGGGAATTTATCTGTGTTTATTACTACAACAAAAACAGGTGAAAATCGGTGTAAAAAACTATTAATTTTTTTCTGGGCAAATAGGGTCTATTTTGGTGGATGGAAGGATGGGGGAAAGTATTCAATAGATTAATGCTTTGAAGAACGGAATTCAATGTGATTTGCTGCAGAACTAAAACAGAATTCAAAACACAATGCCATCTCTAAGTTTAAGAAAACAATATATCTCTAATCCCCAAATAAAACTTTTCATTTGAATAAACAATTTACTGTTGTAGACTTAGAACTATTAGCCTATAAATATTTACATGTAATAAGTGGGCCATACCATTTGTAGCACATACACCCAACTTCATCCTTTTCTCCTACTTTTGTTTTTTTAAAACTTTTGAATACTTCCTTGTGTTCTGAAACATATTCTGATACAGATCTTTGTTTTCTTCCTGTTTTAGTGTGTTAAATCTTTAAACAGTTATCTGCTAAAAGCTTGAAAAGTGTACATGATGGGCGTGAGATTCGTCAGTACGTTCAGATGCGCACGCACTTCAGAGCTTGTGTGCGTGCCTGTTTGTTTATTGTGTGTATTCTCTAGACTAATACATATAGCCTTACTTCAACAGGCAGCTTTGAATTTGGGGGAGATCTCATCACCAGTCTCAAGAAATTAAGTAAAGATTTTACACCAGAATTTTGGGGTACTGTATAGCAAGTATCATTTTATTTTGATTTTAGAGCAATACTGCTGACTTATTTTCCTTTATGTGAAATCCAGGTGGTGTTGATAGAAAATAAGGAGTTGTCATTGGTACGTGCTAAAGACAGAAGTGATGAATTAGGATTACACAATATTTGGTTCATTCAAGCAAACCTGGACTATTTTAAAGGAACTTTTAATATTGGGGTAAGTGATTGATTTTTCAACTTTAGAGTCTACTGATTATTAAGAAAAAATGTTTCCTTCTATAGGTGATTAAGTATACTTACAAAAAGTCCTGTGGCACCTTAAAGACTAACAGATGTATTGGAGCATAAGCTTTCGTGGGTGAATACCCACTTCGTCAGACAAATGTCTCTTCACACAATGCACAGTCAACCTGTGGAACTCCTTGCCAGAGG